AGCTACCAGCCCCGACTGTCGACCACGACTTCAACTACCACCATCACCGTAACTACGACTACCACCACCACCACCACCAACGCAACAGGTTTCCCTACTTCCTAGCTCTGCTTAGGGCATCAACGCTCTAGCCTAGCCACTGTGCATTTAATTGTAAGTTTTCCTTTGCAGGATGCGCGCACTAGCTCTGCCATTGGCGCAGCAGCTACTAGCCCAGACTGTCAACCACGACTTCAACTACCACCATCACCGCAACTACAACTACCACCACCACTAACGCAATAGGTTTCTCTACTTCTTAGTTGTGCTTAGGGCATTAACGCTTCAGCCTAGCAACTGTGCAGTTAATTGTAGGTTTTCCTTTGCAAGGATGCGCGCACTGGCTCTGCTGTTGGCGCAGCAGCTACCAGCCCTGGCTGTCGACCACGACTGCAACTACTGTCGCACGTGTCTCACGCGATATCATACCTATGTACTGCACTATTCACTCATTAGGCATAGCTCCTCTCTTGTACAGTATATAGTCAGCCCAGAGCTCTATCAAGCTCCTTAGACCTTACAATACACTTGTTTAATCCACCTTGTTTAGATCTCGCTCCCTTGTTAAGTTGTTTGCCATATGCCCCCTTCTTAGCTTATGCAAGACTAGCGGCGACGACAGCGACATCACCACTTGACAATACCAACATCACCCTATCCACCGCCGCAGGACAAAGGTAGACACAATAAAGGACGCACGCGAGCTCTTCTGCTAGAAGGGCTAGCAAAAGGAGCTGGCGTTAGCGTTGTAGAAGGCCTTAGGTGACCCTAGCAGCAAAAGGGTTAAGCTAGAGGACGCGCTGCTTAACATGCTGGCGTTATTTATCTTTAAGCTGGTAGGCGATTAGCTGTTTAGCAGCAGGTTTGTCCACTTTCTGGCCGTGCTCAGCATTGATGCCACGGCCCGGCGACTGCGCAGGGCGAAACACTACTCATACATGCTCGCCGGCGTAGCATACTGCATACGCGTGTTGGGCGTTGAGAAGCTGCTTCCGTCAGCTGAGCGCAGCAAGCAGACTAACAAGGACTGTAAGCGCTTCCTAGCTAAGAGAGTGAAGTATCTAGCTAACAGTTTGTACAGTCTAATAAGCTAAGTAATTAGCTTGCTAGCGTATAGAAAGCATGTTGCGTTAACAGACAGCAACTTAGGCAGCGCGTACTAGTCTAAGGACAAGAAGATCTTCTACTTAAACAGCTAACCTATCTATATTAGCTAGTTCTGCAAGATGGCTTAGGACATAGTAGTTAAAGTAGAGGAGATGTTGTAGCAGGAGCTAATATAGCTTAAAGAGGCTAAAGAGCAGTTTGCTATTAATCTAGCGCACGTAGTAGACAAAGTCACTTTCACGCAGCAAGGCTAGTAGTTTGCAGAGCAGCGCGAGAACAGTCTAGAGGACAAGCTATACTGGATGCTGACCTGGGTTAAGCAGAGCGCGCAAGGCTGTAGGCTAAAGCATTACAGAAAGTGGCATATTAAGCAAGTTAAGCAGTACTTGCGCTAGGTTAACTGCTTTTTAACGCTGCTCTTAGTGTGCGTGCACATGATGTCTGGACAGCTAGGTTAAGGGCTAGAGATCTTGTTAATAAGGTTTTGTAACAGGCTGCTGCAGGACTGCAATATCTTTATAGCAGATAGCTAAATTATAACTGTTGTCTGCTATTACAAGTCTTAGTTGCAGTGGGATAGACTAAAGGTGGTTCTGTGTTTTCTTCTGCTGCGGCTAGGGCAGGTTATGGCTATCTACTTAGTATACTTGCGGCTATTCTAGGAGTATCTCTGGGTGCAGGTGCTTGGCGAAGGACGCATTAACTATATCTAGGCGAATGAGCAAGGGCTGTGGTTAACAGACTATCTAACGCAGGCGCTAAAGCAAGAGACAGGCAAGAGACTAGGCGTTAAGCTACACACACAGGACTACTAGCACACAGCTGTTAGCATTAGGCAAGTTGTAGTTAGGCACTTGTTTAGTAAAGAGTATTAGGACAATGTTAGGGAGATTAAAGAAGCTAAGGTAGACAAAGAAGGCAAGGACTTAGTAGAGCTATAAAACTTATAGATAACAGTTATAAGTTTAGCAAACTATAGTGTGCTAATTAACATTGTTAAGCATCTTAGCTTGCGCTCTATTAAGGCGTTTTAACCTTTTAGCATAATGTAGCACTGCTTCTTAGGACTTAATAGTAGGTTTAGGGTAGTGCAGCAAGAGGAGGAAGTAGAAGGGGGACGCAAGGAGAAGGAGAAAGAGAAGGAAAATAAGAGGGAATTAGGCTGTTATAGAACAAAGTAAACGCAAGAGTAAGACATTAGCAGTAAGAGTAAGAAAAAAGAGCTAGGACTACAGCCTTAAAGGATTTATATGTAAGATAATTAAGACAAAGCTATTAAGAAGGCAATGCAGCAGGTGGTTAGGCAACAGAAGATTAGCTTTTAGTCTGTGGAGCAAGAGCAGGCATTGCATGCTGTACTTAACAGTTAGACGCTGCTTGTGGTTGTGCTTCTAACAGGCAGAGGCAAGAGCTTGCTGTTTACTGTGCTAGCGTGCATAGACAATGCTAGCGTTACTGTAGTTGTTGTTCTATATTAAGAGCTTATTAACAACACAGTAGACTGTATGCAGAAGTGCGGAATTAACTGTATTAAGTAGAAGCATGGTGAGACTAACCTGGCTGCTGTAGTTGTAGTTAGCGCTAATGCTGTAGGCAATATCACAAGCAAAGGGAACTTCTTAGGGTACGCAACTATGCTAAGCACAAAGGGGATGCTGCAGCAGGTGGTTGTAGACAAGTGTTATCTTATCTTCACAGCAAGCTACTGGCGGCAGAAGCTGGTGAAACTGAAGAATCTGCGGTTGCTACTGTGCCTAATAGTACTGCTTACGGCGACGCTTCCGCCATCACGAGAGTGCGAACTGGAGGCTGGCATGCTGGTTCGGTGTGCAACGTACGTGCGCGCTAGCACTGTCTGGCTGAACACGCGATACTTTGTGTTGTAGTGTTAAGCCAGCAAGCTAGAGGAGACAGCGCTTGTGGTAGGCTCACGGCGGCAGTTGTTGTTGCTTGCGACAGGAGAGAAGGGCGTGGTGTACTGCTGCAGCAAGGAACAGTGTTAGAGGATAGCAGAAGAGCTTAGATGCGAATACTATTATGCTAATGTCCCTAATCGCGCTGAACGGGTAAAGCAGTGGCTTAGCTCTAGTGGGCTGATTGTTCAGCGCTGGGGATAGGGGTTGATTACCCTAGGGTGGTGTATATACTACACGTGGGGATGCTGTGGAGCATAATTGACTTCGCGCAAGAGAGCAGGCGTGGAGGGCGAGCTAGGGAGGAGGTTAACTTAGTTATTGTTGTAGAGCGTAGATCTGTGGAACAGGAGATGCTTAAGCACAGCGACAACTTATGCGTGCAGGCTATAGGGTTGTTTTTAACAGGCCGCGGGTGCCGACGAGCGCTGATGAGCATGTACATGGACAGCAAGGCTGTAGCGTGCAACAACATTAAGTCTGCTAGATGTGACTAGTGTAGTAAGGGAGTCTGCAAGTTTAAGCGTTTACAGCAGGAGATAAGCACTAAGTGGCAACAGGTTTAAAAGATAATAGATAAGGTGTGGGCAGGATGCGCTATATGCTGGGTGCTAGACAACTTAGGGCTAGACAAGTGGCAGACGCACAAGACAATAAAGTGTACAGCACAGGCAGGCGTGCATAGGGTTAACATAGACTATTTTTAAAAGGGTATACGCAACAACAGCATTAAGAACAGTTGTTAACGCTGCTCTGTTAGTTAGAGGTATTGCACTACAGGTAGGGACGTTACAGCAAAGTGTTAATAGCTAAATGTAGTAGTACCGCTAGTACAAGCAGCTGCTGTTGGGGATGGCTGGGCAGTTGGGATTATCTAACAGTGCGGATACTGCGGAAAGCTAGGCGGAGACTAGAGAGAGTATGCAGCGTGATTAGGGAAGCGGCATAGGTATTAGGTATAGGGCGAGTATTTTAGTAATATGTTTGTAGTAGCAATTAAACTTATTAGGTATAAACTAAAGTAGAATAGCTACTAATATAGTAATTATTTTCTTATATATACTTGCTATTTTTCTACTAATACAAGTTTCTTTAAATCTATGCTAGTAATTATAGTAAATAATAATAAATTATAATACTATTAACTAAAGTTTCTATCCGATATATGGCCACGGATCGCTGGCTTTCCGTAACCCTAACTTCCTTATTCTGTTTAGCGCGTCGGCTAAGCGAGCAGCGAACGACTGGAATCCGTCAAACAGAACCCCTGGAATCCGTC